GGTAATTATTAAAATATTTTTTATTATATATAATTAATAATGATAATCAGAGCCTCCTGTGATTGAGAAGAGTCCTATTAGTGTGGTTGCTCGTGATCCTCCATCTTATGTTATTTTTGAAGCAGCAGCAAGAGGGAACCCACCACCAGTACTGAAATGGTATCACAACTCAAATGAAATTGACTTCAAAAATACCACAAAGTAAATAAAATTTGATAAGTACACTAATCTAATATTAGATTAATTGTATTAATGCAATGAATACTTGGATTAAATTCTTTATTATTATTATTACTATATGTTTTATTTCCATGATATTGCATATATTTAATCATTATTATTATTATAGGATGTATTTGACCAGTACTGGGTCATTGATTATATTGGGTCCTCAGTTTGAGGATAATGGTCAATATAAGGTAGTGGCAGACAATGGAGCAGGCTCAATAGAAGCAGCTGCCAGTCTTACAATATACTTCAGTAAGTGCTACTAGTACTGTAGAGAGTAGTGGATACTGTGTAGCACTAGGGACAGTGTACACAATAGGGGACAAGCCTGAGCAAAGCATTTTGCAGAGACAAATTATTACATTATTCACATGCAGTTTTAAATAGTGAGAGTACTCATAGCTCAAAATTCTAGCCCAGAAGCAGATCAAGCTCAAACGTTCCACATAGCACAATAGTATTATGCTTTATAATTGATATTTGTGTTAATTACAGGGTCAGCCTGCAATAGAGGGTCTGGTTGCTCTAATGATGGACAGTGTCTCCCAGTACATTACTGCAGGTGTCCTGATGGATATTCTGGTGATGGATGCGAGGAAAGTCAGGAAAGTATGTTATTTATAATTTGCAATAAATTTATTTTAATTTTCTTTAACAGCACCTTCTTCTACAACCCCTACTACTCCTCTTCCTAGCTCTGGTGATTATTATTATTCTGGTGATTATTACTATTCTGGTGACTATTACTATTCTGGTGATAATGATTATAAAAGAAAGAAAAGAGGTAATTCATTTACGTTATGTATTAACAGTAATGCAAATCTAGTTACTATAGCTGTGACAATAATAGCTTCAATCACATTATTATTTTTCC